GTGTTGTCATAATGGAAACAAAGTTAATGAAAACAGATTTAAAAACAGCATTTTTTTTTTTTAAATACACCAATGTTTATTAAATCAATGAGTCTTCAGGCTTACTTTCCATTTCCATAATTTGATAAAAAATATATTGGCCCTTTGCACTCAAGAGATGACCCTCACTCACCGCGTGATTTGATGTCGCAGCTCGAGAGGTGACCATCACTCACCATGTGATTTGATGCCACAACTCGAGAGGTGACTCTCGCTTACCACTTGGTTTGATGCGGAAACTTGATGTGTGGAAATAACTGTTTACGTTTAGTTTCGTCGAAGGGGGTTTCTACGCTCTTTCTGCATAATCTTAAGAAGTGTAAAATGATACCTCTTTAAATGGAGATAAGATTTTATCTTTTCTTATCTATCAGAAAGCCTGTTTTCAGAGAAATGAACCCGGAAAAAGGCATCAAACCACATACTATTTTAATACTTGTCCCGGCATGCATCTTGGGAATTCTTACATGAAATAGCATACACAGAAAAATTACAGAGACTAATATTTAAGAAATTATGTTTATAAAGGCGTAAAGATATATAAAATATAAAAATTTTATACAATTAATTGTGTGTGTGTGTGTGTGTGTAATGATTTTAAGTTACTAGTTAGAAATGCGTCAAAAAGGCTGCGAACCGTCTCGAGTTGCTGGTGCGCGGCGCACAAAAGGCCCCGAGTGCAAAGGGTTATTGATAGTTTTTTTAACATTTTATCAAAATTATTTTTAAATCAAAACTGGAATAATAAGGAAAGGATTGCTTCAAGAGGTAATATATGATAAGCACTCAACATGGGATGATAAATTGTCTCCAGAAAATAAAACATAGTGGCACTTAGAGCCACCATTTATGGATGTCAACAGAAATAGCAACAATCACATTTTGATTTTGATATTGAACGCTTTTTTCTAGTTTGGATGTCAATAAAAATAATAATATTTTCAACGTTTTAAGTTAAAATAATTAACGGCATTTAAGATTAGGGCCTAAAAAATTCATGATAAAGAAATCGCGAAGATTCTAATTTCGAATCGTTTTCAAGATTTAGTGGATTCAAAAACTGGGGGATTCGAATGCCTCATACCTAGTTTTTAATGTCTTTCAAAGGGATATTTGGATAATTCTGCAAAGTAAAAAATTATATTTGAAATCCATTATTAATTTCTTATATGGATTGTAACTGTCCGTAAACAGTAGTTTATAGTACATCACAATATACGAATAAGGCACTGGCTTCAGATCAAAATCGAAATGGCGCACAGAATTAAAATATAATAAATTATATATGAGTATGAAAACGACATACATAACAATATATGAGGCGCAACGTTCAGATTTTCCTCAAGTATTAAAATTTGTAAGCATAATTATACGTGTAGCTCAAATTTCAGATATAGTGTTTTGCGTCTACAGGCCCTAAATAGTACAATACTTGAATTAAATATTTTTTCCTTGCTCCCTATCAAATTTTATAGAAATTGTAAGAGAATATCAGTTTTTTGTTTTATGCAAAAGTGATTTAATTTTATTGTTCTTTAAACTTTCTACTTATTTGCACAGAATATATGTTATATGCATATATATTACGTTTATATACATATGTATTACATGTTTATATACATATATATATAATATGTATAAAAGTTCCATATTCATCATTCAATAGTTCGGCATATCCGATAATTTTACACTCTTTCACTCTAAAACCGTGCTTCTAATATTTCATTTGGCAATATTCGTCAAATCTCGACAATTGTTTCGCATCTGTTTGTCATTTTTAGCCAATCATTTGTTTAGAACTTTGAGTTTATATTATAGTATTTGCTTGCTTTATTTATTTAGAATATTTTTAAAAATTAATAAACATGTTTCTAAGGTAATAAAACAGGAACACGATTTTAGCAATTCGCCAAAAGCATCAATTGACCATAACGCAAAGAGCGGGAAATCTGAAGACAGGAAAAGAAATGGAGAATAGAGAAAGAGATCCAGCCAATAATCATTTTGCATGAGCAGGAGCTCTAAAGCACGAACACATTTCATTTTGTTGTTCTTGAAACTTTACCTACATAGAATATAACAGAATTATTAATCTTAAATAGCTTACTATAAACGGTCTTGTTTTCTCAGTACAAGAGTGAAGAGCTTGAGATCTGGCGTATTCGACAGGAAATCCTGAACCAAGAGGATTTCCTTCCATTGATTAATAAACACCTTTTGGTAGGAAATCAAGTTCTGATTTTGAAATAAACAAGAGCTATTTGGAAGTTTCCGAATGAGATACGATTCTGATAAACTAAGCATTTTTGTCTGCTGGTCGCAAATAGCTGTCGACATCGTGTATTTGTTAACTGATCTCAGTTAGCATTGCCGATAAGTCCAGAATATACTTATTACCAAAACTAATCTACGTGTAGAATATCGTTGGAATTCAAATCAAAATTAAATGAGTTTAAACTTGTGCAGACTTTATTAATATTATTATTTTAAATGGCAGGCACTAGCCATTTTTAGGCTTCCGCCACTATTAAGTCCAGAAGTGGTGGTAATTTTATTATGGTGGCATCTAAATACGCGGCCTCAATTACCTCCTATGATGGAACAGACAATTTACATCCATGCCTTCTCCGGAATTCGAACTCGAGCCTTTCGGTCTCGCAGTCGGCTTCCCTAACCACTACATCGCCTAGGCGGGGCAGGCTTTGTTATTATTTTAACCGTTTGTATCTAAAGCGTGTGTTAAATAAAAATAAGTGAAAATTTTTTTAATATTTTTTTTTCATTCACTCTCCTATGTTTACATTTATTTTCTGTGTATCGGAATTGAGAAAATTATGATTAAATTAGTGTGTGATAGTTGTGATATAATTAGAATATTGGAATGACATTAAAAATCTGCAGCGATGTAATGTTAAATGTAGTAAACAGTCTGTTATTTCATGGGAATTTTATTATATCTTATTTATATTAATAACTGAAAATGCATAACTTTTCAAAAAAAAAAAAAGTAAAATATTCTTTATTTATAGGATTGTAAAATTTCAGAGGATTCAGACGTTGTACCCAACAAACACAGATAACTTCTAAGTTCATCAATATCATAATCAGAATGACATTAAATATATTTTTCAACAAAGAAGTTCTGGACAATTTTCATAATCGTTTACACCTGAAATGGCGCCAAGATGTTTTACAGAATATGCACTAGGCGCTGCCAGACAGTTTGTTAAAATTAACACAGTCTAAATAATAAAATTATTAACTCATAAAAACTTTGATCCCATTTCACTATAAATCGAAATACAGCTAAAAATATGTAGCTTCTATTAGCTGGATTTGGAACTTTATTTTTGATAATAATCCCTTCGCACCCATGCAATCTCACATTTAAAAATTATTAATGCGATATACTTTAAGAAAGTTTTTCTGAAGTATCCGAGATGGTGAGCTTTCTCTTCGTTTCTTTCATTTTATCAAAACTTCAGTCATCATGCAATTCACATATTTATTTGTTATACGTACTGTCCCTAGTGCTTGACATAATGATCGTAAACGAAGCAAAAGTGTGTTTTATATTTATTTAAGAAAAACGGATGAATCATTTCTATGATTTTTGGCTTATTTGTGTTTTAGCAAATTTTATAATTATTTATTTACAGTATTTCCATTTTAGTTTATGTATGTTAATTCCATTTTAGTTTATACTTATGAGTAACTATTTCTCATATGTAATTTGACAACGCAGATTAATAAGTAGTTAAATGTCGAAGATGATTCTGGATATCAAATCTTCGTTCAAAAATAATGACGAGATCATCAAAAGATGCAAAGAAAAATTAAAATAATTACTAAGATAATGATCCAGGACCATCGAATATTCAACGCCTAAAATGTTTAATAGCAACAATGAAGTAAATAGTTGGAATGGCAGGAAAGCTTCCCAATTCTAACTTCTGTTTTCTATGCATGAAAATAATTCTTGGTGGAGGCAGGTAGAATCCATCTAAGCTCAAAGTCCATTTTTAAGCTTTAAAATCTGATATCTATATAAGTTACGCAGTTTAAGAAGGAAGATGATAAAATGTTACCTCTTGAGAATAATAAAATAACCTTTTGAGAAAATACCTCTAGATACCTCTTGAGAAAATGACGCGGGTTTAAAATGAATTTTTACATTCTGTATCCAGACGTCGGTTTAAAATGAATTTTTACATTCTCTATCCAGTTATCCAAACTTTAGCTTTTCGAAGTTGGTGGAACAGATTCGAGTTATAGGCGTTTGAAGAAAATTTTCAAAAATCATATTTAATGCCATTTTGATTCAGTAGTTCAGATCTTTAGATGTTATTTTACGCAAGTGCGATAAGATTTAATACTAAAGTATAAAAGTCCAAGTACCGTTAAACACGTATTAAAATGGGAAATTTATACTTATTGGCATTAATTTCGATATAAAAGACAATTAATACATTTTAAGAGGGAAAAATGTACGTTGTATCTATTTATCAGGTAGAAAAGTTTTTCTCAAAACAAAATGCTAAATAAATCCTTCAGATATGCTTGAATTTTGCGTTTACTAAATTTTAAATAAGTGTTCTCATCTTGCATTTATTAGATTGCTGATTATTTTCTTTGCGTTATCCTGAGACAGAAAACACAATTAAAAAGTAAAATGAAAATAAAATAAATGTTAGTCCAGGGATTAACATTTTACACTGATGATGTTCAAGTCCGAAAAATCATCACAAAATATAAAATGTAATAATTCTTTAACCAAAAAGAAAAAAAAAATGAAAATCGCAAAAGAGTACTTCGAGTTCTAGACCACTAGTAAATGTTACATATTTTACTCAGTAATTAACATTTAAGTAATGAAACTGTAAAATATTTTTCCTTGCGAAAGCACTATTCTTGTAGAATATACGTTTTAAGAATCTTTATAAAATAAAATATTCGCTTACCATTTCTGAAGTCGTCTTACACAGCACTAATCTTCGTTGGAAGCATAACACGAACACGTCTACTTTAGCAGAATTTTGACCAAAATTGCTCCAGCTTTTACGTAAAGATTTAATCCCCCAAATTAAATACCTTTGTTAAACCTGAATTCCTATAATAAATATAAGAAGTTCACCGTACCGAAACTGCTATCGCTTGCAGCTGCGTCAATTATTTTTGGTTTGCAATTCAGAGTTTCAGTTCGCAGTCACGATTCCTTCAGAGCGCAGAAACTCATTTCTGAACTTTTATGATTTAAAAGAATATAAATATTTCGACTTTAGTAAATGCATTTTTCATGTGGTACAAAATAACGATAGATTAAACAATTCTGTGTTGCGTTATTTTTATTAAGAAAATATTATTTCAAAGATTTCTAACAAAAGTACTTATCTTCGATTTAAATAAAAAGTAATTTATATTGTAAAACAATATTTAACCGAATAAAATTTGATTTCATAGCCGTAACTTGTTGAAAATACATACAATATTTAAAATTAAAATTTAAGAAAAAAGAGTTCTTGAAAACCGGGGTTAAAATGTGTAGATTCGCATAAACAAGCAAGCACCTTTTTGTCATCAAAATTCTAAACATACACCTACGAATATATGCTAAGACTGCATTTTAAGATTTTAAGTACTTTTTAAAAACCTTGAACGTCTTGGAGGTGTTTATTGTTTTCAGTTTGCTCATTTCGTGTTCTTTAAGTTTTAGAATTTCGTGTTCATGAAAGTATTGCCAACTGAAGGATTTTTTTACAAGCCTCGTGCTCAAGCGATCTAGTAAAATAAATGCACAGTTACATCTTGAATAAATAATTCTTTTCTTTTTCAAATAAATGCTGGATTCTCTACGTTCTATTAGTTTGTGATGAAATAATATCATAAGAACTTTTTTTCTTATTATGTCACTTTGCCATTTTTAACAATTCATTCTAAATATAACATTTTATGTTTTATGTCATTAATTTGTAATGGAAAAAATAAGCCTATCGCAACTAATTTGCCGTAATAACATAAAAGGGGGGGGGAAATATGACAGAAATTAAAAAGAAATTAGACAAAAGTCCACCTTAGATTGCCGTTTTATAGAAATGTCTAGTTAATTCCAATCTGAGTTTCCGTTGGGTTTTTATAAAATTGTATTTTTATATAAAAGATAATCAAAACGAAACAACAGAATTAATGTAGATTCACTCCTTTAACGTAGTGGTGAAAATATTATTTCCTTTAAAACTACTGAAGATATATAATTAATTATGTTCCGTCTTTTTAGTAGATAGGTGGCGCTCTTGATGCGCGCCGATGAAAAATATTCCACTTGACGCTTGAACATGAACAATGACGCATGTCATATTGATTTGATGCTTGATTATGTTTCATGGCCGCTATAGGCGGAAGTAATATAAGTAATATAAGTTTATCGTTAATAAATGTTATTTCTATGTTTTGTGAACTCTTGAAATTTTGATTTGAAATTCTAATGCTCTCCCAACCTTGACTCCTGAAACGAAACGATCTTTGAATTTATGACTCATGAAGAGACAACACATACATTTTTCTGGTGCCGAAACCCGGGACAAGGGGAATTACCTTTTGAAAGGTAAGAAATTTGATTTATTTGTTCTTGGTATCGATCTTTGAAAACGAAACATAATGGATGATTTAGCAAAAGAGAAAAAGAAACGTGCTATTGTACGTAGTAAAGTTACTACACTTCTAAATAAACTTGAGAAATTATTATCGGAAGAATTAAGTAAAGAACATCTAGAAGATTTAAATTCATCATATGAATTGTTAATTGAATACCATGAGAAACTTAAAACTCTTGACTCAAAGATCGATGCTCTCATAATTGATGAAAAAGAATATGATAACGAACTACTTGTATGTGAAGAGTATGATGAAAAAATTATAACGTTTAAAGCTAAGATTGTTAGTAAAGTAAAGAAAATTAACAGTAATGAAGTTGTTGAATGAAAGAAGTATAATTACAACTAGTAATGGTATTAGTAGTACTCTGAATGGTAATAATGTTGTTACAAGTAGTGCTTCAGTAAAGTTACCTAAATTAAATATTGAAAAATTTGCTGGTGATCCCAGTAAATGGCTCGAATTCTTTAATTCGTATGATAATGCTATTCATTCTAATCCAAGTTTATCTAAAATAGATAAGTTTACATATTTGAAAAGTTTATTATCTGGTTCAGCATATAATTGTGTTTCTGGTTATGCTTTATCTGAAGAAAATTATGATCTATGTATTAAAAGTTTAGAAGAGAGGTTTGGTCGTAAAGATGTTATTATATCAAAATTCATGCAGATGTTGTTACAGTTAGAACCAGTTAAAAGTTCTTCAAATGTTTTTGAGTTAAGAAAGCTCTATGATCAGTTACAAATCTGCGTTAGAAATTTAAGTAGTTTAGATGTTACTAGCGGTTCATACGGACAGTTATTGAACCCAATAATTCTTAAATTGTTACCTGAAGATTTAGCTCTTGAATTCCATAGAAAAAGAACATCTAACCAAAATATAGAAGTAAGTGAATTAATAGAGTTCATTAAAATCGAAACTGAATGCCGAGAAGCAAGTATTTTGATTAATAGCTCAAAAGGTAATAAATACACAGGGGTTAATCCTAAACAAGGGTTAAAAAATTATAAAGTCAAATCACAAGCTTCTGCTTTTAACACATCGGTAAAAATGTTTTGCATATTCTGCAAATCAAACGAACATACATCTGCCGGATGTTTGAAATTTTCCGACGAACAAAAACGAAAGAAATTAAAACATGAAGGTCGCTGTTACAGATGCTTTCTGAGATCACATTTGCGGTCGTTTTGTCATTCAAAAATACAACCATGCGAAAATTGTAACGAGAAAAATCATAATAAACTTTTCTGCCGTTTGAAATCGAAAGAAATGGAAGATGTTAACTCCGCAGATACGCAAAATAAAACTTTAGTATCTACTTCCCACTGTAACACTCTAAAACCTGAAAATAGTGTGCTTTTACAGACATGTTCTGTTATTGCTCAAAGCAAAAATAAATCGAGAATCGTAAGATTATTAATTGATTCAGGTAGTGAACGAAACTTCATCACCCACAAGTTAGCGCGCGATTTAGAATTGCAAGTCATTAGAAAAGAATTTCTAACAATTTATTCGTTTGGAAATCAGCGCGGTAACTCGCAAGAATTTGATGTATATAGTCTAAAAATAAAAAAATAAAAACGATGATCGCTGCCTTGTTGTAGAAGCTATAGGGATAGAATTAATATCATCAATAGAATTCCAGGCGCCATCAACATATCAAAACATTAAAGAATTTATGACTAAAAAAGGGTTTGGAACTTTCGGATACAAGTCCCGTTAATGAGAACATAAATATTCTGCTTGGCGCGGAGCATTTCTGGTATATACAAACAGGAAGTAATTCAATGATAAATGATGGTTTGTTTATAGTACCGACCATATTTGGATACACAGTGATGGGTAAAGTAAAAAATAATAATACTCGAATTAATGCGTTGTTTTTATCTGCCGTTGAAGGAAACACATTTGATTTGCAGTCATTTTGGAAATTGGATTCGATAGGAATTGAAAATGAAAACAAAACATTTTCGGAAACTGATTTGGATACTATTAAGCATTTTAACGACAGTTTAAAATTTAATAACGGCAGGTACGAAACAAAACTCTTTTGGAAGGACAATAAATCACAACTCGCTGATAATTTTTTCGTTGCTAAACAACGATTTCTAGGACTAAAGCATAAATTAAAGGGAAATGATTTCCTATATAATGAATATGATAATATAATTAGAGAACAAGTTGAAAGGGGGATTGTTGAACAATGTAAGTTTGTTGAAAATGAACCTAACTGTTATTATATGCCTCATAGGCCCGTTATACGTGAAGGAAAAGTAACAACAAGAATAAGAATAGTTTATGATGCCTCTTCTAAGTCTGAAGGAGCTAAATCGTTAAATGAATGTTTGATATCAGGCCCTAATTTAAATCCTAACTTGTTGGATATAATTTTAAAATTTCGCGTACATAAAGTTGCATTTTGTGCAGACATAGAGAAGGCTTTTCACCAAATTCAAATTGATAGTGAAGATAGAAATTTTTTAAGGTTCTTGTGGTTTGATCATTCTTACGACAATAGTGACAATAGTTTAGGCTTTAAGGTTTTCCGAATGTGCCGAGTGCCGTTTGGAATGACAACAAGTCCGTTTATTTTGTCCGCCACTATCAAACATCATATTAAGGGTTATGAAAAGAAATATAGCAAAGCTGTTGACATGTTAAATAAGTCCTTATATGTTGATGACCTTATCCATGGAGCAGACTCCGTTGAAGAAGTTTTCTCATTATCAACTGATGCAGTTAAAATTCTTCAAGACGCTGGTATGAACTTAAGAAAATTTGAATCAAATTCCGTATCTTTAAAAAATCATTGGCAAGATATTGGTTTAATTAATAAGGAAGATAATTTGGATAAGAAAACGTTAAAGGTGCTGGGAATAATTTGGGATTTGGATGAGGACACATTGAAATTAGATGTACAAGAACTTTTACAACCAGTTGACTGGAAACACGTTACAAAGCGAAAGGTATTACAGATTGTGGCAAAAATTTATGACCCAGTTGGATTCATTGCACCCTTTGTTATCAGAATAAAATTCTTATTACAAGAGTTATGGGAATTGGGTATTGATTGGGACACAATTTTGCCCAGCTATTTGAGTGAAAAATTTAAAACTTGGTACTTTGAAATTGAAGTTATTCTCAACTTGTGTATTCCTAGAAAATACATATTAAATGATGAATGTGTAAATTTCGATAAAATAGAGCTTTTTGTCTTTTGTGACGCCAGCCTCAAGGGATATGGAGCTGTTGCATATTTTCGTGATCCTGATTCTTGCTGTACGTCTTTTGTTCTTTCAAAGAGCCGTGTATCCCCACTTAAAAAATTAACCTTGCCTCGTTTAGAACTTATGGGAGCCATTATTGCCGCAAGAATAGTTAAATATTTAAGGAAATTATTTAATATCCAAGAAGAT